TTTATGGCCAGAAAGTCTATGAGTTGCTAATGTATAATCTGGTTCTAACCTTTTAAAAATAAAATAAAATAAAATAATAAAATAAATAAAATATTAATAAATTTATAAAATTTAAATAAAATTTAATAAAGTAAAATTATATTTTACATAAAAAAGACCTGTTTCATCATATTATAAATTCATTCAGGAGAATAATCTACGTATTTATTTTGTAATAATGGAAGTGTCTCTTCAATAGAAACTTCATTTGCTGATGCTACTTCACCTTGTAATTTTATTTGTTGAATTTTATTACATTTTTTAAAACTATATAACCAACCAAAAGAACCAAATTAAGTATTTTCAGAAACACCTAATCCTGTTGCTAATAATTTTACCTTTTCAATTAAAACAGAATTATGCAGAATAACTCTATGTTGATAGCTTAAAACAAACTCTTTAAGTGTCAATCCAAGTTCAGAAAATGTTACTAATTTATGTTGTTTCTGTGTTGAATCAATTTGATCATTAGAAAGTTATTTTTCTTTTGTTTGTGAAATTCTTGTAATGGTATTTTGATCAATCCTTACTTTCCATTTTTATTTTATCTATTCTACAGATTCAGATCTGATCTTTTTATTATTGTTAGTATAAAGACACAATTCATATTTTTAGGTGTAGTTAATATAATCTTTTTTTTTATTGAACTCATTTGATAGTATAAAGATCTAAATTTTTGTTTATATTTTAAAATTATAATTTAATTAATTAATTATTTTAAATCTCAACACACAAAAAAAAATCTAAACTCTTATAATTACAAATTGGTAAAATGGTTGAAATGGTAAAAATGGAAAAATGGTAAAATGATAAAATAACAGAAGGGTAGGCTCTTTTTTTATTATTTTTTTATTTTGTATTTTGTATTTTTAAAAATAATTAATTTATTTATTTTATTCTTTAACTGAAATAAAATAAAAAATAAAAAAATTAACACATACAATCAAAATGGAAAAATGGAAAAATGACAAAACAGTAAAATGGTGAAATAACAGAACAGTAGGCTCTTTTTTTATTTTTTTTATTTATATTTTTTAAAAATAATTAATTAATTTATTTATTCTTTAACAGAAAATAAAAAAAAATAAAATAAAAAATAATACTTTGATTACAAATCAGCAAAATGGCAAATCACACAATAGTGAAATGGTGAAATGTTGATTAGATTTTTTTTTTGATTTCAATTATCATTCCACATGATTTAAAATCACATGGGTGCATTTATTGAGGGAATGTTTAATATAAGCAGGATTAAAAAATTGTTGCACCGTACAAAATAAGAGGGTGCACTTAGTTATTATTCTTCAACATGGGGATTGGATTAAAGGGTGCATTTAAGAAGGGATGTACTTATAGAAGATATATATGTAGATTTCAAATATTGACATTCACTATGCAATCTGATATTGGGATGATTATTATTACTTCTCCTACTTTTACAAAAGTGATCAAATGCATTAGACATTAGTCTTTGGATAGAATAGAAATAGTTGTAATAGTTTTGATTTCTTGTATTTCTACTGTAATTTTTATTTTTCTTAATTTAAAAAAAATATTCTCAAAATTGCTAAAATTCCAAATTAAAACAGACACATGTATTCTAAATTGGTATGATAAAAACTTAATTATAATTATTGGAAGATTATCTTCAGTATTCTTAAAATAAGAGTGATAATATTTTATAAATTAAAATCTTTATCAAAGAGTTAATCAAATGAGAATAATAAATTATATAAAAAATTCAGGCTTAATTTTTTTGTGTTCTACCAATATTAATGATAATTCTTTTTTAAAAATATTAGCTATATATGCTGCACTTGTCTTAGGAAAAAATTATTTTATCTATATATATATATTGTAAAAGTTTTCCAATTCATTGAAAAACTATTAGTATTCGTTCATATAATAGAAACAGTGTTGCATTTATTACACCAGATATGTATTCTTAATGGGAGTGACTTTAATGTTGTTAATTGATATTCATTTGTGAATGGAATGATTATTTCCTAACTTTGCACCATCTATGATTTTGATAAATGGACAAGTGAAAAATAAATTGAATCATGATGGAAAGAAATAAAATGGATGCCTTATGTTAACAAAAGATAGGTTTGATATTATTTATAATGCTGAGTACAAAAGATCAGGAAACTCAAAAAAATGTGATGGTATTATTATTGAGGGAAAATCTTAGAAATTATTTAAATGATTAATTTAATATATCCTGGATATCTAACAGATTTTAATCTAAGTAAATTGATTGAAAAAAATTTAGGAAATCTCAAATGTTTTAGGAGTATTACCATATATAGATCCTAACATATTAGGTAGGGATTAATATACAAGGTTGCTGATATCTATTCATTGGCAATTATTGCTTTTGAAATAGTTACTGGATTTTGTCCATATTCTGATGTTCTACATGAAAGTCAGCTTATAATAAATTATTCCTAAATTAACTACAAGAACAATTATATATGCTTAGAATTCTCAAGTCATATTGATAAAGGGTTAAAAAAATATATCAATTATGATTTGAAAGATAATGATGAAATTGTAAATCACTAGAGGCAGGTGAATTTTTAAAAAATCAAATAACAAATGATAAAGTAACTAATTAAAAAACACATACTTCTTAATTTTTGAAATCTTCCAAAATCTTAATGAACCAAATTTAGAAAAGAACCTACAAGAAAAAGATTCTGTTTTTTCCTTAAGTTTATATATTTTATTCTTTTCATTTTATTTCATTATTAATTTTACCAATTATTTATTTGTTTTTGTGATGATACTGATGATTTTAGTTAATAAAAACATTAAAATGATTTTTACAAAAATTTCTTGTATAAATTCAATTAATTTGTTTATATTCAAGAGATAATTATATTTTGCAAAATCTTAACAATAAATTCAATTATTAATTGATAAAAATTTTATTTAACTGTATTGACTGTAAATAAATTATTTATTCAAGTGTAGGCTTTTTCCTCATTAATAATAATTTTATTTTCAGAATTTTTAATATAAAAATTTTGTATAAATATATGAAATATTCTGTTTAAAATGATTGTATTTTATAATCTTTTGATTCTAAAATAAATTTAATATTCATTAAATTATCAAAACTTAGCTGAAATTTTTTTTTTAAATATTCAGCATAGATATGGAAAGTTGAAATCAGCCTTCATAAATTAAATTGGTATATATCAAAGAGTCATTACAAAATTGTATATAAATTGATCTTCTGTCTAGCTGATGATTTGTTCTTTAATATTTTGACAAATATAAAGATTGATTTGCTTTTAATAAGTACTGAAGATTTCTTTAAACATAATCTTTTAAAAGAAAGATCAGAGAAATAGAATTTAAGCTAAATATCATGAGCACAAAATGCTCCTAATCTAGACCACTTGCTGTAATAAAAATAATACTATATAATTATTTTTTTAGTAAGTAAAAGATTATTTTTTGATGATTTTATAGGTGATTAATATTTAGATCATCTAAAAAAAATATTTTCTAAATGTCTAAAAAAATATTTTTAGATAAAAAATTACTTTTAGGTGATTTGATTGTCTAAAAATATTTTTTTTTTGGATGATTTATAGACAATCAATTATTAAATTGTCTAAAAAATAAATGATTTAATTAATATTTTGTCTAAAAATAATATTTTTAGAAAATTAAAATATTATTTTTATTTGATTTAATAATTTAAGCGCCAGAGGTGATTTTTACCACCAGACAAAATTACATAATTCCCTGATCACATAAATTTAATTTTTTCCAGTGGTGACAATTACCACTGGTGAGCTTTAGCAATTTTCTAATTTAATAGTTTAAAATATTGTTTTTTAGAAATCATCTAAAAACTATTATTTTTAGAAAATTTAATAATTTATCTAATCGGCTATAAATCATCTAAAAAAATATTATTTTTAGACCAATTTAATAAATATTATCATTAAATCATCTATTTTTAAACAATTTAATAATAATATTTATTAAATTGGCTATGAATTATCTAAAAAATAATATTTTAGATAATTAATTATTAAATCGCCTAAAAATAATTTTTTATAGATGATTTAATAATTAATCGTCTAAAAAATGTTATCTTTAAACCAATTCAATGAATATTATTATTAAATCATCTATTTTTAGACAATTTAATAATATTTGTTAAAACAGTTATAAATTATCTAAAAAATATTGTTTTTAGATTGATTTAATAAATATTATTATTAAATTATCTTAAAAATAATATTTTTAAATGATTTAATAAATATTTCATCTAAAAATAATATTTTTTAGATGATTTAATAATAATAATATTTGTCAAATTACCTAAAAAATAATATATCTAAAAATAATATTTAGACGATTTGATAATTAATTGTCTAAAAATAATGTTTTTGGATGATTATTAAATCACCTAAAAATATTATATAAAATCATTTATTTTTAGATGAAATATTTATTAAATTGTCTAAAAATATAATTATTTGTCTAAAAAAAATTGCTTTTTACACCAATTTAATAAATATTATATTAAATCATCCAAATAAATATTTCATCTAAAAATAGTATTTTTTAGATGATCTAGAATAATATTTTTAGGTGATCAATAAACATTTTGTCTAAAATAATATTTTTTTAAATGATTTGATAATTAATCATCTATAAATTATTTAAAAAATAATCTTTTTAGATAATTAATTATCAAATCACCTCACCTAAAAACTTTGTTTTTAAGAAAGATTATATAAATATTAAATTAAATCATCTAAAAAATATTATTTTTTAAATGATTTAATGAATATTTCGTCTAAAATAATATTTTTTTAGATGATTTAATAAAAAATATTATTTTTAGATGATTTAATACTAATATTTATTTTTTTTTTGTTCCAGTAAGGCCTTGCCCCAAATTTATTAATTAGAAAAAGAGAAAGACTTTTACATTACATAAAATTACATAATAAAAAATATACAGCTTATTCTAATGTTTGTTTGAAAAGATGAGACTCGAACTAACTCATATGAGACATGCCTACAACCTACCGCCTGATTTAATAATAATATTTATTAAATTACCTAAAAGATAATAGATTTAATAAATGATTTACTAAAAATTAGGTGTTTAAAAAAATATTATTAAATCATTTAGACTTGTGAGTCTAAGGGAGCTTTAACTATGTTACTTGCAAAATTTTAAATAAATTTTAGAAGCAACAATCATTTACCAAAGAGTAAAAATTTCCTTATATATTATTTAAAGATATAAAAGGAGGTTATCTAAAGCCAGATACATCTCATGATTTCAGGTGATCATTGATGATGGCTTCCCCAGTATCACCAGAAATATTTTCTCACTGTTACATCAGTAATTATATTAATTCGAAAACCTTCGAAATTATATCGCAACGTTAGATTTCGAAGGTTATCGATTGTG